AGCCATTAATGGACTTAACCACCATGTGGTTTATCCAATTCTCTTTTAAACGCTGTTATAGTCCTAGCCTTCACAACCTCCACTGGTAAGAAGTTCCACAAGTTGACTGTGCGCTGCGTGAAGAAGAATTTCCTTGTATTTGTTTTAAACCTGCTGCCTATTAATTTCATTTGGTGACCCCTAGTTCTTGTATTATGGGAATAAGTAAATAACTTTTCCTTATCCACTTTCTCCACATCACTCATGATTTTATATACCTCTATCATATCCCCCCTTAGTCTCCTCTTTTCCAAGCTGAAGAGTCCTAGCCTCCTTAATCTCTCCTCATATGGGACCCGTTCCAAACCCCTAATCATTTTAGTTGCCCTTTTCTGAACCTTTTCTAGTGCCAATATATCTTTTTTGAGATGAGGAGACCACATCTGTATGCAGTATTTGAGATGTGGGCGTACCATCGATTTATCTAAGGGCAATAATATATTCTCAGTCTTATTCTCTATCCCCTTTTTAATGATCCCTAACATCCTGTTTGCTTTTTTGACCGCCTCTGCACACTGTGTGAACATCTTCAGAGAACTATCCACGATGACTCCAAGATCTTTTTCCTGACTCGTTGTAGCTAAATTAGCCCCCATCATATTGTATGTATAGTTGGGGTTATTTTTTCCAATGTGCATTACTTTACATTTATCCACATTAAATTTCATTTGCTATTTTGTTGCCCAATCACTTAGTTTTGTGAGATCTTTTTGAAGTTCGTCACAGTCTGCTTTGGTCTTAACTATCTTGAGCAGTTTAGTATCATTTGCAAACTTTGCCACCTCACTTTTTACCCCGTTCTCCAGATCATTTATAAATAAGTTGAATAGGATTGGTCCTAGGACTGACCCTTGTGGAACACCACTAGTTACCCCTCTTCATTCTGAGAATTTACCATTAACTCCCACCCTTTGTTCCCGGTCTTTTAACCAGTTATCAATCCATGAAAGGACCTTCCCTTTTATCCCATGACAGTTTAATTTACGTAAGAGCCTTTGGTGAGGGACCTTGTCAAAGGCTTTCTGGAAATCTAAGTATACTATGTCCACTGGATCCCCCTTGTCCACATGTTTGTTGACCCCTTCAGAGAACTCTAATAGATTAGTAAGACACGATTTCCCTTTACAGAAACCATGTTGACTATTGCTCAACTGTTTGTTTTTCTATGTGTCTGATGATTTTATTCTTAACTATTGTTTTGACTAATTTGCCCGGTACCGACGTTAGACTTACCGGTCTGTAATTGCCGGGATCACCTCTAGAGCCCTTTTTAAATATTGGCGTTAGATATGGTAGTAAGTCATTGATAGCTTTTCTTTTCCAAAGATGGACTGACTTCCTGCTAGAAGCCTAGTCAGTAGAACTCAGTCTTTACAAGACTGTTTTTGGAGAGTCTTGTATCTTCTTGTGACTGTAGGCCTAATCCAAAAGAGCCCAGTGGAAAGATTCCAGTTGATTTCACTGGGTTTTTGGATCAAGTCGTTAGTGATGTAGTCGTTTACCTGTGGTGTAGAAAATGGGATTCACGGTGAATGGGAGCATAGGCAAGATTGAAGGTATAATGTGTTAAACAATTATTGCAATCTGTTTATCCAGTAGAAAGACATGTCACACCAATAAAGGAAATGGAGTCCTAGGGGAATGCACCTCGAAAAGTGATCAGCTTATTTTACTGATGTTTAGGAAAGGGATGCTTTTGGAAGTTTGAGAAGATTGTGGCATAAGCAACTTTGTTCTGCTTTGAAGTCCTTCAGTTGATGTATCGCTTTCAATCAGATTGTAGGCACATGTATTTTATAGATGCTCCACTGATTTCATTAGTGGTTGATCTTCTCTTAATGATGGAGAGTGGTCAAGTGCCCAGGCTGATTCTTTTATCTCTTTTGTTGACTTTTGATACCATTGACCATGAGGTCATGCTGACTCTACCTTGGACTGTGACTTCTTAGCTGGAAAACACAAGGTGGTGGTTTTGGATATTCTGCCCTGAGAAGTGACTCTCTGATCCAGGGAACGGCTAAATTATCCTAGTCAGTGTATGTGAGACTGATGGGGAGGGGGCCTGGGGTTGTTGTTATCAGCAGCATACAGATGCCGTGCAGCTCTCTCTCATTTTGGGGAGAGGTTACTTAGTGCAACTTCTCAGTAAGTGGGTACGTGTAGAGCAGCAGAACCTAGGATCCACAGATCTGTATGGAGCAACTGAAAAGATTATGGTGAGCAGATAAAGGAGAGGTCTTACTCAAATCTCCCCATCTGCATACCTCAACACTCAAGGTGCAGATCTGAGGGGAATAAGTGAAACATTTATGTGAACCCTGAAATATTCTGTATTGCAAAAGCACCTGTGGCTTCTAACCAGCATCACTTGCTCCACTCCCCAGCCTTCTTCTATCTTCACCCCATCCCCGTCCCACAAACCAGCAGTCTCAGCAGAAAATATGTGTGGTTTGACAAAAGGAGGCATGGCTTGGTGGGAGGATTAGGGTTTGGTGTCTGGCTAGGTATGCGGTTTACATCACATTTGTACACCTAGACGGGGATGATTTGATTTATTTTAAACAATGTAATGTATATATAGAATTAGGTTTAATATTCCATCAATAAAATTTTAGATATATTTGATGATTTTTGGATGTTAAGTTTCTTGTGATTTGCATTTGATTTGGATAGTCTAGGTACACTTCTAATTATAATAGCAGTAACAAGATTTAAAGTGTGTGCAGTCAATAGATGTAGCCTAAATTTCGAAAGTAACAAGACCTCAGCTAGGTATCCAACTTTATACTTAAAGGGATATGAGTTTCAGAGAACTAAATGCTGTTCCATATTATGCATCCGAAGAAGTGAGCTGTAGCCCACGAAAGCTTATGCTCTAATAAATTTGTTAGTCTCTAAGGTGCCACAAGTACTCCTGTTCTTTTTGCGGATACAGACTAACACGGCTGCTACTCTGAAACCTATTCCATATTGGTTGCTTTTGAGTCCCCCCTAATCTACTACTACATAGATTTGGAATGCTACATAATACTAGCTTATTTTTAGTTTATTTTTAGTCCCCTTCCACCTATTCACTGACATCTACAGAATTTTTGTTCTATCTCTCTGGAAATGTTTGAAATGGGGAACTTCATTTTAACTCTTTATCCTAGAGCCAGTGTTGTCAGATGAGAAACCCGATTTGCTTTTCTCAAATTGAGAGGAATGAGATAGTCATTCAGAAGCTTGTATGTGTTCAGGACATCAGAATTTTCAAATGAGATGAGCAAAAATTCATTACAGTCAGAACTCCTGTTTTGTTTTTGGCCCCTCTTTCCCAGTTATTACTTCTGAAATGTCTTTGGAGACAGCATTTACAACAAAGTCATTTTTACTGGTCTTTCTTTTCAGATCAAATAAATCCAAGTTTCCCTTTATGGGCTAGTGTACCATGGCATTTAGCCATAAGCAAATCCTACACACACAAACCTACTTTATTCAATCAAGTTAAAGGCATTTCCTTCTTAGGCAGAGTTACAGCATCCTCATCAATCACTAATTTCATAAATTAGGGTTTAACAGTTGAGGGCTTTATGCCCTTTTTGTTGCCCAGCTAATCTTGGGCTAGAAGATGATGGCACAGTATTAGGGGGTGAAAATTGAGGCTGCCAGAAACTCTCACCACAGAAAGTCTGCATAATCCTTCAGATTTTACTGCTCTTTGTGATAAATGCAGATTTTTAATTTCGACAGAAGTGTCTGAAATCAGAGAGGGCTAGCCTCTTGCCCTGAATTATACAGCACGCCAAAATGTGCTAGGTCCTTTAGAAAAGACACAGTGAAATTTCAGATGCAACACAATATGTGAGGGGGACAAAATAGAGGCGTTTGGGATATCAGGAATAGGGTTAAGATAAAGTAGGGTTAAGATTGATGACAGATTATTTTGATAATCTAAAATGTTAGAGATAAGGATAAAAATTTTATTGACTTAATTATTGTAGATATTGGGTAAGAAGTCAGTTTTCAGGCCAGATTTAAGTGAGGGTGGAAGGAGTGGCCTTGCAGACTAGCTCAGGAAGAGTCATATTGGTTATTTAAAATAGCAGGGCCAAAGAGCAAATGGAGGGGAATATCAAGGTATTAGGGAAACAATAGAAGGTTACAGGTTTCAGTGGTAACATAGGAAAGCAAATGTTCATTTTCTAGTGTTTCTTCTTTTCAGATCAAGCCGTTGTGATCCACCTGGATTTTGGTTTTCATCCATTAGTTTTCCCACTGCCAGATTGTCCTGGAACATTATGTGCTCTGCATACTATTTAGTTGTTTAAAAATGCTTGCTTGACTGCCATAAAATCACTTGTTTCATTGTTATGAGAAAAAAAAAAACATGTGCTCTCTTTTTTTAAGAAATATGTTTTGAGTGAAAGATTTGAGAAGTGTGTACAGTTTTCACACATACTTTATTTAAAAAATTGAGATAAAAGCTCAGAGCAGCATTTGTTAAAATTCCCCCCATAGATTTCCAATAGCCATAGTGAAAATTGATCCAACTAAAAAAAAAATTACCTTTGCTTCTGAGTGCCTGCCCCAGGGGAGATAAGAGCTCTTTATTGGATATGTTTTTGGGACAGTAAGCAGGGGAGAGCTCATACTTAGATAACAGGGGACGACTCCTGCAAAGAGGGAATACTTAAAAAAAATTGATAATCTTCTCTTTAAAAAAAAATCAGATGGTAAACCTGTGGGATTGAGGGTTTACTCCTGTCTTATTCTTTCAGTTCCAAAGCAAAATGAAAGTGTAGTTTAAACTCTAATAAGTATCTGGAAATTCTTGGCTTTACAAACATTAGTTTCCCTTTTAGAACAAAGTGATTTGTATTAACAGCACTGTCAGATAGTTTGATGATTGAATGTTGTTGGGGCTTGATTTCACTTGTATTTTTTTTCTCTTCTTCTTCTGTGTGGCTGATGGCTCATAGCATGCTGCCTGGCTGCTGGTAAAAGAGGAAATGGGGTGAGTAAGTTTTATAGCATTTATACTAGAGAGTACTGGATTTAGTGAATTAAGAGATACTTCTATAACTTTTTTCAGAGTAGGAGCAATGAGGAACTTCTTTCTCTGGAATATTGGGCCACTGATAGAGATATTTATGACTAAATGATTAATACTGTATTTTCCATGTGTAGGAAAACAAAGTGATTCACTTGATAGGTGCTTTAAAAGTAAGAAAGTATCCCTGCTAGCAAACAGCAGCAATCTCTCTGGAGCTATACTCCAAGATTCTTCCTCCCCTCTTTCCCCCCTTACTTACAGTGAACTCAAAATAAACACGAAGCCAGGGAGTAAATGCTTCATTTGCTTTCATCCCTTTGCTGGCAAGCACCTTTAAGCATCCAGGTACTTGAGCAATAGAGCAAGCAAGTAGTTGTTTTATAAGTTTGATATGAAGGCTACTACTTCACTGAATGCTGAGCAGCTGCAAAAGATTATAGTTTCAGCTTTGGCATATGCACATCCTACATTTGCTCCTAAATTGGATGTTTCTTGTTCAGTATGTTCGTTGTGACTGCAGCATCTCTAGGACAATGCTTCTGAGTTTGGGGTGTGGGCTATCCATTCAATGTAGTGTTTTGAAATTAATTTAGTGCTCATGAAAGTTGCCAAAATGACATCACTGGAATCAGAAGTTCTCAGTCTGTCAAATAGATACTGTGAGGGTACATATATAATAGGATAACAGAGCCTTTCACTTTGTCACCACTTCAGAGCCAGCCCAGATCAGTAATGTCCAAAACTGTTACTGTTAGCTTATGGTAAAGAGTCAATCATTTGTTTGGTTCCCAGTAGACAGAAGCCACCATCACAGTTGACTAAGAAGCTGAGGATTGAATGATCAGAGACTGAACTATCCTATCACTCAGAACTGTTCTTTCTAGAGAAGAGCAGAACAGATTGGTGGGGCTGTGAAAGGAAGCATACATAGTCTGTACTATACCTGTTTGGTGACTAAACAGAAGTAATTTCATCTCCAAGCCGTCATGCCAGTACTTTTCATGAACATTACATTCACTTTAAAAGAAGGAGCACAGCACAAGCGGTTTAAGCATTCCTTCACAGCCTCACTACTATGGCTTAGGGCTTGTCTACATGGGGAGTTATTCCAGAATAGTTGTTCTTGATTAACTCCGTATGTGGATGGTCTTATTCTGGAATAAGAGTGCCTTCCATGTCCAAAATGGACTAAACTAATTTGGAATATGCACTCTAATTCCAGAATAAGAGCAACCACACGAGGAGTTAATCAAGACTAGCTATTCTGGAGCAACTCCCCACATAGACAGGCCCTTAGACTGCCAACAAAAGTACTAATAAATATAATGGTATTCTGTTTTAATAACACTAGGTCACTACAGACTGGACTAAGTCCATCAATTCATTTAATATCAGCCAATGAATTACTATCAGAAGGTAATGTCTTTGTTACTACTGACCTGGGTAGGGATAGGGTATAAAATGGTCATCTAGGTTAATGGTCATCTAGGTTTCTGTATGTCTTAAGGAATCCAGGAGTCCTGTATTTCTCAGCAATCTCAATTTTTGAAGTTAGAGTTGAATTTAGTGCACACTTAGTTTGAAGGTACACAATTTCATCTGTGTTTTAATGATTTTTCCATTTCACTTTTATTATTAGGGTAGCTACTAATGAGGTTATTAACATGTGGCTTTTCATATACTTTGTGTCAATATACAATATTTTAATTGTATGGTTCTCAAGAATATAGGGTTTAAGTTGATGAATTTACCTTTGACTAGCTGATTCACAGGCTGTTTTCCACTTATGGTGAAAAAAGTATGATTAATATGTATAGTTTGATGACACTGATTATTTGCATTCGGATATGACTGATATATAAATCTACACCTTTTGTGAGACATCAGTTTTAAATATTCTAAAATTCTCCCAATAATGTAACTACATGGGGACATGAACAATTTGTACTAATGGTTAAAGTACCTTCAGTAAGTAATTAATATCTTACAATTTGGGGTAAAGTCTTTGAATCTTATAAGGATCACATTAATTGTGAATAAACTTATAAGATACTGAGTAGTCTCCAGCAAAAGTATTATTAAGTGAACAGGGTACAAAGACTGTGGATACTGGCTGTAATAGGTATTAAAATATATAGCCAGAAATATTAATGCAGTGATTAGATTAGTATTGAGACCTTTTGTTTATACATCAGTGATTTGAAGGAGTATCTATCCAGTAGGTAAGGAGAGAGTGTGTGCAACCTCTGTGATGTATCTTCTTATCCCAGACCACTCAGAGGGTACCCCACAATATGGGGGAGAGACAGGGACATAATGTCCTCCACTCACAAACCAATGGGCGAATTCAAGCAGGGTATACAGTCTCAGGCTGGGAGAAGAAGAAATTTTTGGAGGATTGGGAGGCAGTATTGGAGCGGAGGCATAAGACTTCTGCATAGACGACTCTGGTCTCTAGCAAGTTTCCTATGATCTGGGAGTTCTGAGGGACAAACTCCATGCCCATTCCCAGACCTTTCCCCAGTAAAATTATCTGTTAGAAGCATCATGAGAGGAACACTTTGGATATTCTTGTTCCCTATGTGGGTTTATCAGTGTAGGGGAACAATTTGGCTCAAAGTTCATTGTTATTGAGCTATCTTCTGATGGAGGCCATCATGCTGGGAAGTGCTATTTGAGATATTGGCAGTATAGGAACTCAGACTTAGAGGTGGGAAAGCAATTTCTATCCTACTTTAATGCTAGTTTAAACAGTAAATTATTAATCTCTAAAAGCATTTTTTTATTGTTTAATCAGCATTAGAGAAGCTTTCACAGTGAGCTCCTATAAAGAAGGTGTGAGTTCCTAGTAAATTGGCCTGTCATTGGCGCTTGGGTCAAGGGTGGTAATGCTATATTTTTTTTAATGAAATGTGCTATTTGTGTGGCAAAGGGTTCTCACTATGTAAGCTTCCAGATTGCTGGGCTGAAAAATGTGTGTACTGCTTTCTCTTAATATTTTTGACATCTTTGGCTAGTTACACTTTCCACTGCCCTTAATTATTTGGTGTACTGCCTACATACTCTTGTAACTTGAACAAGTATATGCCCTGTCTCACAATGAGAGGGCTAGCTGCCCTTCCGAGTTCACCTCCACAGATCACAGACCTCATGCTTTCACCTCCCCTGGGGTGGGTGATTCTCCTGCTCTTAGGCCTGGTCTACACTACGAGTTTAGGTCAACTTTAGCAGTGTTACATCGAATTAAGCCTGGACACGTTCACATGACGAAGACCTTTCTTTCGACTTAAGGGGCCCTTTAAACTGGTTTCTTTACTCCACCTCCGACAAGGGGATTAGCGATAAAATCGGCCTTAGCGGGTCGGAATTGGGGTAGTGTGGATGGAATTCGACGTTATTGGCCTCCGGGAGCTATCCCACAGTGCTTCATTGTGACTGCTCTGGACAGCACTCTCAACTCAGATGCACTGACCAGGTAGACAGGAAAAGCCCCGCGAACGTTTGAATTTAATTTCCTGTTTGCCCAGCGTGGAGAGCACAGGTGACCACGCAGAACTCATCAGCACAGGTAACGGTGATGGAGTCCCAGGATCGCAAAAGGTCTCCAGCATGGACCGAACGGGAGGTACGGGATCTGCTCGCCATATGGGGAGATGAATCAGTGCTAGCTGAACTCCGTAGCAGTAAAAGAATGGCAAAATATTAGAAAAGGTCTCCAAGGCCATGAAGGACAGAGGCCATAACAGGGACGCACAGCAGTGTCGCGTGACAATTAAGGAGCTAAGGCAAGCCTACCACAAAGCCAGAGAGGCAAACAGAAGGTCTGGGGCACAGCCGCAAACATGCCACTTCTACGCGGAGCTGCATGCCATGCTAGGGGGTGCAGCCACCACTACCCCAACCGTGTGCTATGACTCCTTCACTGGAGAAACACACAGGGAAGAGGGTTCGGGGTACGAGGAAGAGGAGGATGAAGATAATGTGGATAGCTCACAGCAGCAAAGAAGCGGAGAAACCGGTTTCCCCAACAGCCAGGATATGTTTATCACCCTGGACCAGTAACCCCCGAACTCACCCAAGGCGTGCTCCCAGACCCTGAGGGCACACCGGGGACCTCTGGTGAGTGTACCCTTGTAAATATTACACATGGTTTAAAAGCAAGCGTGTTTATTGATTAATGATTAATTTGCTCTGGCAATCGCGGCCAGTACAGCTACTGGAAAAGTCTGTTAACGTGTATGGGGATGGAGCAGAAATCCTCCACGGACATCTCCAGAAAGCTCTCCTTCGTGTACTCCCAAAGCCTTTGCAAAAGGTTTCTGGGGAGGGCTGCCTT